TAAATCGTTCGCTGGTGGGACTTTTGGGTATAGTTATCGAGAAGACCGACGTTGCATATCTCAGGTCGTTCCCTTGCGTAGTTGTAAAAAAGACATTTCAAGTTACTTGCGAAAATCCAGAAACTGAAGTTGATCTTATTTTGTCGCGAGCCGGCGTCTTCGAGACGCCAAAAGATATCGATGATTTTACAATTTTCCCTACTCATAGATCAAATCTCGGTACCGGTGTTGGGTGGATTCGTGGTTCCATTGGTAGATGTAGAGTGCTTAACGAAGTGTACGGTCATGGTAAAGGTAGGGTTAAGTCGATTCCAAATGCCTATTGGGGAATTGGCTAGCGTGTACCACAGATAGTAAGCAAGACGTCTGGAAAATTCATGTAATCTGGCTACTTACCACCTTGTGCAAAATTACGCGTCCTGTCAGACTTGGGCCTCGATTGGGAATTGGTCAATAGGCTACTAAAAATCCAGACAGGGGCGGTTTTCCCTTTACTAATCTCTGAGCACCTTGTAGGCTTCCCGTCTAGCGGGACGCGTAATTAAGCACACAGTGGTAAAGGGCCCTTCCGCAGTAACTACAAGACGCTGACAAAACTTTCTTCTCTTCACTGAAAATCACATCAAAATTTGTCCTTACTTAACTTCAAGAGTGCTGCACGTATCAGCACCCCCCGGGGAACCCCTATACGTAAGAGGGTGAGGATGCGCGCCGGGAATTTCGAAAACGACCCTTATAACACTATGAAAGGTACCTGAGTCTTATCCGTGTGGGTGGGCAACAACTGAAATCTACCCTTAGAAAGTACCAATTTAAACACAAAAAAATTGAAAAATCCCAAAAATAAGACCTCCTTTATCGATGTGCTCCAGAGGCTCAAGTTAAGTCATTAAAATCGTCCTAGTAATGCTTATTTCAGGTAGTTAATTGAGCGAAAAAAAAACCTAAAAGGTACTAGCTGGGTCTTTGGTAGTCCACTAAAGTTCGAGACACCGTAAAAGGTACGACAAGCATCCTCACCTATTTCCGATCGCCTTCTCCCACCCCCCACCAACCCTTTCAGCACCTAAAAACAAAAGATGTGATTTGCCAACTACGAGCTGTCAGTCTCGCCTCGTAAAATTCACATGAACTGGTTATTTACTTATAAAAACTTTTAGGCACTGATCTGTCAGATTTTTATGCTGACAAAATCTGTCCTGCTTCGAGGCAGGACGACTGTACTTTTTTTGTTTTGATCGTCTTGACATAATTTGGTAAGGATCAAAATAGCTGTACGTCTGCATTTATTGAACAGACTATCCAAGTGCATCCAGAACTCGATGTGTGCACTTCTAGTGCATTAAGTATTCTTTTGTAACATAGCCAAAGATCTTGCGATGTGTACTGTTCCGCATTTTTTTCTTTTCAAAGAGGCAACAGAATTATTTTCATGTCAAATTTGCAGTAAACTGCTTGCGTGTCATCCTTTGTTTTCAAGGTGTCCGACCAG